ATCTGAAGCGTATCATGTCCTTGATCAACAAGTTGTCATGGTAGCAGAAGTAATACATTCATTGGATTATCAAGCTTGGAGTGCCTCTTTATTTGCATTCTGATCAATGAAGGAATTTTATCTCAGCTGGAATTAAAGAACTCTGCAAACTACTTGGCATAGACAAAACGCAACAACACTCTTCTATCCACAGTCAAACGGCATGGTAGAGGTTTAATCGAATTATTCTTAATAACCTCTTATGCATGGTTTCCAGAAATGACCAAGACTCGAACCAAAAGTTATCTCTGTTCTTACTGGCCTGCTGCAGTGCTGTCCATGAGACTACCGAATAATCTGATCGTAGATGCACTTTAGTCTTGACATTTATTTGCTTTGTGATCTGTTGTTCGGCCGCCCTCTGGATGTGCCTACATTGTGTGGGGAGTACTTTCATGATCTCCGTGCATGGTTTGAAATTATTTTGCTCTAAAGCAAGTTAACTCGGCGGCAGAGAAGGTGAAAACCCAATATAACACAAGAATTATGGAATGTCGATTAAACAAAGGTAACAAGGTGTGGTTATGGAATCAGATTCAACGGAAGGGACTCCTAAACTGCAGTCATCATGGCATGGTCCTTACACAGTCCTACACAAGCTTAACAGTATTGAAGTTTGAATCCGTAAGTAATCACATTCTAAACCTAAAGTAGTTCATTACAACAGGCTTGGCCCTTACTGTGACCAAAGTATATAGTCCTCATTGTGTGTGTAATGTAAATAATAAACTAAGACCATGGTCTTATTTGTGTATAAATTTGTAAAATAATGCATTTAATTATTGATTTAATGTTTGATTTGTTGTATGTTAGTTATTGAAATTATTGTTTTAGTATTGCATCGATTTGTAAGTATGGCTTCCTGTTCAGGGATTGTATAGTCGTTAGGAAGGGTGCATTGCTATGAGTTTTATGTATATGTAAATAATTTTAGTAAAATTATATGTGAAATTGCTGGACCTTTTGTATAATGTAACATGAAATGCTAGAAAAAGCAAAACTCTGCTGGAAAAGTATTGTTACAATGGCAAGTCTCTTGAACATTGAGGTAAATGGCTATTTCACTAAATTGCCAAGATATTGCCAAATTGATGATGGTTTTAGTGACAAATTTTGTACATTAAATTTGGCTAGAAATCCCCAAAAGTTGCTATACTTGGTGACCATTTGGTGAAATGTTGATCATTATAACTATAATTGGTACTGTAATTAAATAACTGTACATTAATCCTTATATGTAACTGTAACCATATCCACCTCTTTTATATGTAACTTTAACCATATGTGCCTTCCAGTAGTTTCGAGATATGGAAGGTGCTGGGGATTTCTCGGTGGTGGGGACTTTATAAGACTAGCACCAGTTTCTCAATTTTGGGTTCAGAGCTGAGTTTGAAGTATTGACAGAACTCTGTATGAGCTTCATCATTTAGATGCATTTTGCATTGCATTGTGTTTAATGTTCTCAGTAATTTAAGTGTAACTACTGATTGTTCTCCATGATCCTAAGAGAAGAGCTGTATGAGTACTTTTGTGGAAAGTTCCAAAACTGTAAATTGTTTCTTTTGGGAAAATAAATTTTATCAAGCTATCATCAGTTCCGTGTGCATTTAATTGATTATGAATCTGTACACATGCAATAATAATTTCTTTTAACATTAAAATGCAGTATGTGTTAGTTTTTCAAATTTAAGTTATTAATCGAGATTGTATTTTTTATATATATTTTTTCAGTATAATAATATATTTACTAATTCTGCTGAAATCAGGGCATTCATTTTAGCTTCCTTAAAAAGCACAGTGTGTAATGTACACTGCTCAAAAAAAAAAAAAAAAAAAAAAAAAAAAAAAAAAAAAAAAAAGGACAGTCCTATATCTCCCAATCTACTGGGCCGATTGACAAATTCAAATTGCGTTCTTCATGTCTCGAAAGCGCGACTTAGGATATTATAGATTTATATATAGCACTATTCTAACATAGGTATTTTGACACAAAATCGGACTTTTTCTGAAATAACATACCATTTTTTTACATATTTCGATTCTACGACTCAAATTACGCCTAAATAGGAAATTTTGTAAAATTTGGAGCAAAATTTACGGAGAAATTCACAAATTTATGTTGGCACATTTTTGTCAGTTTGCGCCAAGAATACTTCACTTGGCAACCTAGTCACTTCTTAATATATGGCAACCTAGTTTCCTTTCCCATGAGAGGAAAAAGTCACCATCGTTCCTTTTTTCCAAATAATATTCTTATATTATATTTTTAATTATAACTTATTATTTTAAGTAATTTTTTTTCCTTTTCAAATTTAATTGTTTAAGTTGCACTTTTTTTTTTTTTTTTTTTTTTTTCGAATAACTGTTTTAAAAAATTTCTATTTACCTATTCGAACTGCGTAAATAAAGTGCAGCGTTTATTTTTTTTTCAATAGTTTTCTTTATATATATTTTTTCGTCATAGTTATTATTTTAGGTATTTTTTAAATTTTTTATACTTTTATTTTAATTGTTTGTGTTGTTCAGAAATGTTCCGTTCAGAAAAGATTATAATAAATAAGAGAGATTATAACCAACATTTTAACTTAGGTAATGACTTGCATACACTGCTTTAAAACAGTTTATCATTGTGCCCTTTGCTTTACACACAATTTTATCCTACATTTGGTTTCTTAAAATGTTATTCATATTTTAGGTCAAATTTTTATTTTTGAAATCGCAAGAATCAAATATCATAACCTTGAAAGTTTTAAATTAAAAAAATACAAATACTAAATTTTAACGAAAAAATTTATTTTTCTTCTCTTTTTTTCTTTAAGCATTCTGAAAGTATATTAAAAAGTATCCAACTTTTTGAAACATTTTGGTATTTCTCTGACAATCATTTTAAATAAAGTTATCGCCTCCATTTCATAAAGGCCCACAAACGGCCGAGCGGTAAAGACGCTGATCACTGGTAGTTTCAGTCCGAGGTTCGAATCCTGCGAAACAGGCTGGCTGCATGGGCGTTTTGGTGGTTTTTCCCCATGTATAACGTGTATTGCTAGGCCAGTTTCCCTTAGAAAGTCCTCCACAAAGGCATCCCTCACCTTTAGGCAAGATAACCCTAGTGTGCTTTACCATAATTAAATAATCCAATCCAATCCTTAATTAAATATAATTGATTTGTAACTTCTACTAGAACTGACGTTAAGAATTGAAGTGCAAATAAATAATATCGTGTGCAATCTTGATTAATATAAATTAAAAATATTTGCATTCAGACAGAAAGTTTTTTGAAATATTTGCAATTACTTTATAAGAAGGATTTATTAATAACCGTAATAATTACTTAATATATTACTGATGATTAGAATCAGTTCTTGACAATTACATTCTAAATTAGAATTTTAAGAATTATTAGAATTTTAAATTAGAATAATGAAAATACGCTACGCACAAAAATACATTTTAGGATAAAAAATGAGTTGATTTTTTATGTTTTAAAACTTCTTGAATTCATTTAATAAACATCGTATCCTCGTTGTTAATTGAATCCAGAATGTTGGGGTGTCGTTTATATAATTATTCTTACTTGTCTACAGAATCCTGCTGACTTATCCAGCGATTAAGTAGCTGCAGATCATTTCTACATAACCATTGAACTTCCATTAATTCAGTCTCTAGAGGTTTGTATATTTATATCATAATTTGACTTTTATAAAAATGATTATTCTAAATCTTATGTTTCTATAAAAGTATACTGTGCTTTAAAAATATGGATGATAGTACCAGCCGCTCTTTCAGCCACTTCAAAAGCATCAGTTTGTTTAGAAATAAATTGTGCAGTTAATGTCATAAAATTCAAATAAACATCAAACAAAAATTCTCAGTTTTAGACAATTCGATTTAAACGAAGTAAAGTAGCAAACAATAAAACGGTAGTAAAGTAGCAGACGAAAAAGGTAAAAATTTACTCTTAAAAAAAAAAAAAAAAAAAAAAAAAAAAAGGATAGAAATTAAAAAAAAAAAATATTAAAAAATTTATTTAAAAAATAGCATATAATTAATTCTCCGTAAATTTTACTTGAAATTTAAAGTTAAAAATAGCTGTGGCAATACAGTGTAACAAAAATCCATAGACCACATTTGGCGTTATTATCGCTCAAAAAAAGATGCCAAATTTCAAAACGCGAAAATATGTAAATTTGTGTATATCTTAAAAAAATTTTGAATAAAAAAGTCTAATTTGTTGCAGATATGCTTAAAAATATACCTACTTTAAGATGATGGTAAAACTTTTTATATAGGTTTATAATTCAAAATTTTTTTCGAAAAATTTATAAAAATTATTTAAAAATAGAAAAATTTAAAAAATAAAACACAAAAAATGGGTAAATTTTTATTTGGAATGAACCTAAATTTCGAAATGTGAGAGAAAAATCGAAAAAGTTTAATAAAAAAAGAGATATAAATAAATATTTGGCAAATTCAATTAACATTGAGGAACTAAAATTTTGAGAGCTAATATTTCAAAAACTACTCGTATGATTTTTACAAAACTTGGTATTCTGGCGTAATTTGAGTCGTAGAATCGAAATATGTAAAAAAAATGGTATGTTATTTCAGAAAAAGTCCGATTTTGTGTCAAAATACCTATGTTAGAATAGTGCTATATATAAATCTAATATATATCCTAAGTCGCGCTTTCGAGACATGAAGAACGCATTTGCAATTTCGTGAATCGCCCCAGTAGAACGGGAGATATAGCACTGTCCCATTTTTTTATTTTGAGCAGTGTACAAAATTATATTTTAAAATTAAATTAAAAAATTTTGTCAGGTTTATAGTCAGTTATGATAGCATTGTAATTGAATTCTTATGTGTCTTGAACTGCTGTATGGAATAAGTATAGTTATATAAATATATAATTTTAATAGATTTTGTTAAATATGAAATAATTTTGTGTTTGTTTGTTCCAGAACAGAACAGATGTCTTCCACTCTGGGGCATCACCTTGTGATTTACCCATACCTAAATGTGTTTCCTTCCCAGATATTGGCAATATTTATAGTTATGATAATGTAATACAGAAATCGCACTCTTGCAGAGCAATAAGTAATATTGTAAATCCATGTCTAGCCATTTCTCCAAAACACAACGTGGCCAATACAAGCCCATGTTATAAGAAAAATGATGACAGATCAGAATCCCAGTTTTGTAGAACAACAAATAAAAAGACTGAACATCCCTTTGCTGTCCATAGAGCACAAAGTGAACCATATTTGTTCATGTTTGGTGACAGTATTTATGTATATAGGCCTTGTGAGCCAATCAAAAAAGCATCCAATGTTCCTTTGCATGATGACTATCAGCTTAGCCTTCCACCATGTCAAAGTATTGATTTAAAGTTTCCTACAGATGACTCAAACCTTGAAGACTGGGATTTGATGTGTAAAAACGGGTGTATCCCTTTTCCTGATAATTCTTTTTGTGAGGTATGCAACTGTTTATTTCAATTAAGTAATAAATGTAGATTTTGTTTCTCAGTTGCATTATTTTTCTGTAAAATGTGGTGCATCAATAAAAGCTGAGTTTAGCATGATTTTGGTGTATATATATATATATTATGTGTGTGTATACACATGCACACAGATTGTTTAAAAATATCTAGTAAAGTTGTTAAGTAGAGTGAACTTAAATAAGTAGATTTTGTAATGCTGTATGTATGGAGAAAAAGTGTTGTGCAGTAGCAGTGTAGAGTGGTAGAAAAGGATTTTGCTGACATGAATCATCATTCTCCATGCAGATTTTGAGCAGTGTGCATGAACATGCTGCATGAACTCACAACTTGCCAACATGTATTTTATTTATGGGGTTTCAGCTAAACTAAAGCACCTTCTAAAAAGGAGTTATTAGAAATGATTCTGTATAACTCAAGGATTTATACCAGAATGTTTTTATGTGTCATTCAGCATTTCGCTGTATCACCTCATTGGGCCATATCTGCACACGCACTAGATTGCAGAATCTACTCAATTTCTGACCCTTTACTACATTTACATTTTTTGCCAACTATTTTTAACTTTACTTACAAGGACTGTTCAAAAAAAAAAAAAAAAAAAGGGGGACCAAACTTTTGCTGTTCTTGCTTAATTGCTAATTATACAAATGTTTAACCACTATCTCTTTCAAAGTACTCCCCTCTGTCAATATATTGTAGCCAATGTTTCTTCCACTTTTGGAATGCTTGTTGGAAATCCCATTTTCAGTGGTCATTGCATTTTCCTTAATTTCCTCCACGAGCTGGAAACAACATCCTTTCTAAGTGGTTTTTAAGTTTGGGAAACAGAAGAAGGGTATGCCTGGACAAAGTTCAGAGAATAGGATGAGTGGGAGGTACAACAAAAGTGCAATGTTCTGTGTGTTAATTGATAGCAGGGAGTAATGCATAAGGTGGCATGTACATTGTCATTATGCATCAACCACAACTGAGTCCCCACACAGTTGAGGTTTCTTCCTATTCACAACATCTCTCAGTTGTATTAGAATTCTCTGGTAGACTTCCTTGTTTACTCTCTGACTAAGTGGTATAACACTCAAAACATGTTGTTCATTTGTTAACATGGAATGTCATCCAGTCCTTGGAGCTTTGGCAACTGAATGTCTGTCCTTCTTAAAATTCTGAAACCAATTATAGTATTGTGTTTGGCTTATGCAGTCATCTATGTGTGGTTAAGTATTTGGATAATTTCCATTAAAGTTTTTCGACTTCTATACAAAATTTCATGCAGATGCATTGTTTCTCCGAATCTTTCATTTTTGCTTTTTCACTAATGTGATGAGCAGCTTATGCAAGTCTTGGTTTAGAATCTAGTAAAATGTGATTACTAAGATATGCCACTAGGTGCACTGACTATTAATATGCAATTTAAAAGTTTGATCTTTTGAACAGTCCTCATATTTATATATATGAAGTTTTTAGTTTTGCACCTTATTTTATAGGTTACTTTGTTTTTTTATTTATCTCATAATTATGTCATCTAAAATGTTCTGTAATTTTTTGATGATAAATGCAAATGACACAGTACAAAAAGGTAAGAAACTTTAATGGAATCACACACCACTATTGTATTCTATGACATTTTGTCATCTTTCTGGCAGTTGAAAAGTACCCTTTTTTTATAAAAAGTCATTATGTTTATTCATAAAAAAGTTATTGAAATGTTGTTTGGCAGGCTCCAAAACAATGTGAACTCCAGGCCATTCAATAATTTTGAAGATGAAATAATGCCTGTGAACTTGGATTTGTTGGGGACTTGTTCCTTTCCATAAGTGACAAAAGTTGTTCACACTGATAAGTAATACTGAATATGCATATAATGCAAATTTTTGACTTCCTAGGAACCAAGTGTTAGTAAAATTCGTGGATTTTCACGTGACCGAATTTTTGCTTTAAATCTGAGTGACACTGAGTTTATGTTTGATCCACCATTAATCGGGCTGCCACTTTCATAAGCCTCTAACCGGTACAGGGTTTCATTAAGAAAGATCAAATTTTTGAAAACTGCCACAAGAAAGAATTCTTTTTTTTTTTTTATTTTAATACACAAAAATAATACAAATAAATGAAAGCCTTTTTATGAAATACTAAAAGGAGAGGGACAAAGATTTTCCCAACAGTGGCTGTTTGGTAGATTGTGCAGAGACTATGTTTTATTGTAAGAGTTGCAGATAGAAATATGACTCAGAATTCTGTGTGAAAGTTTGGCCTAACTTAAGCAGGATCTCTGCTGACTTTTATAGCTTGATAGTAGCCAACTTTCACAATTGACGGAATAACACCTAATTACCTGGTAAACTTGTTTTGCATTGAGATATTTGGGTTGTTTGACTGATATTTCTAATTAATGAAACAGATTTTTAGTTTCAGTTCAACTGAAGAAATGGGCTGAATTGCTATCATAGGTAAATAAATGAAAATGAAATAAAAAGCCTATTTGGTGCAATCGGTTCAGTTTAGCTTTATTATTTTAGTTAAATGTTAGTAAATAATTCTGTAATATTCTTGGAACTAAGGTTTTTCAGTACTTACGTGTTATCACAACCACTTTAATAGAAGTTGCCAGATTTTTCAGAATGTGCTGAACTCTGGCAACCATAAATCCTTGGAATGTCCCCATTTTCATATGCCTTCTTTTCTTCTATTCCAAGTTCCAATGGTTTTTGTAAACAAATCGTGATATTTTTTGCCTTAATTTAAAAATATTGTCTTTTGGAATTTCCCTGGAAAGGAGGAAATTGCTGTAAAATTTCTGTAGGAATATTATATTTTGCAGCAAAATTTCTTAAGGAACCAACAAGGAGATACTTTTGTTAGATGGCTGCTATTGCTGAGGTTTGTGCGATGTCGAGTTTGCAATTTTCTGATTTTTTTTAAGCAAAAACTGATCACTGTGTACTTTAGAGATGAATGTGTTTTATTTTTTCAATGTGTCACGTAATCCATATTTAACAATTAAAATTTGTATTTTAAATTGCTAAAGTTAGTTTTCTTTTTAAGAGTTGATAATGTTTGGTGACTTACGATAAATATCGAGATTTGGATTCTTTTTAGAAAGAGTTACGAAAACCACAAACTTACATCTGATAAGTGAATTGTACCATTTCATCTGTAAAAAATAACCAGTTTGGCCAAGGTGGTTGTGTTGATATGTAAGTGCTGATTTTTAAGCCCTTGTTTCTTTTCACTTATTAATTATTATTATTCTAATGGACAAGTGAAAATAGGCCACATATTTCTGGATATAAAAGTATTTATAATTCAGAAATCACATATTAATAAAAAATTACTGATACATAATTTCTCCTAAAGGAATGTTTGATGATAAAAAAAATTTCTAAACTTTATCTATGTAAATAAATTTTATTGGTGGTTTTGTAATTATTTATCTTGTCTGTCTTTTTAGGTTGCTGACTCTTGTAGTTCTTGCACCTCAAGTGATTCAGAAGTTATGAATAATTCTAAAGAGATGCTCTTCAGCAATATACAGTCCAGGGATAAAAGCAAGTGTCCATCATCAGTTCTACTGGGACACAGAAATTTTTGTCATGAACATAACTTCTCTGTTTCACTGTCAAATGAAAAATCTACCTCCAAGAGCGAAAAACATGCTGAACTTGTGTCATCATTTGCTCAAACAGAAGGGTACAAAGTAACTGCAAAATCTGTTTGCTTACAGACTGATATTAGTGAAGTATGTTTATCTGTTATTTTATTTATTTATTTGAGCTCTGTTCTATATTTTATATGATTTTTTTTATTTATTTTTCGATTGGAAAAGTGTGTTACACATATTTTATCCTTAAAGTTGCAGAATCTCTTATACATAAAAGATACACAGTTTTTTACTGAAATAATGGAAATTACTTGTAGCTAAAATATTTTGCACATAGAAATATTTAACTGTGAAAGAACTCCTCACAATCCTTCTCTTGAATTACAAATATTTAGACTTGAAGTAATTTATCTTTTTGATGTAGTTTAATGTTTTGTAAATCTTCTTATAGAAAGTAACAAAATATAAAGACATATTAAAACACAATTTAGTATTTTGCATTTAAACACCAGCACAGCTTTGAAAATATTGCAGTTAACTTCATGTCTTAGTGTTTGAATGAATTTAATCGATATCTCCCAGGTATATCTCAGGTGATAGGAAATCCAAAGTTAAAAAAAGTTAAACTGAACTTGCATGGGAAAAATTGTCTAATTCTTTCTTGATTCTGCACATGATTTGACTTAAAATCTCATATATAATGTTTTTATGTATAAGATATATGTCTTAGCTGGGTACCCTATTACTTTATTATAGGGGAATTTTACGCAAGAGTATTGCCCAAGTGAAAAAATTATAAATATTACTTTATTTACAGTTACCTTATTATATTATATTACATATAAAATTTCATGCATATGTGGTAATTTTTTATAGTACTTAGTGTTCACATATATACAGACTGTTTTTAAAATTAAATAGTATTTAAAATATCATCATAAATTTTTCTTGAGACAAATAATTGTAGTTTATATACTTGCTTGTTTTTCTTTCTTTTCTCAACTTAGTAAATATATTATACATGCATTGTGCAATCTATAATTTGACTCCATAGCTGCGTATCTACTTGTCATGCATCTCAAACTTAAATCGGCTTTTATCACTGCTTGTTTATCAGCACACGACAACTTGTGTAATGGCAGCGATGCCTCAAATACTTTTTTATATTAGTAATTGAATAACAAAGAGTATGGTAAATTTCTCTGTTGCTATTATACTTGGTAAGTGATTACAGATTTAAGTTAATTGCACTAAGAAATGCTGATAAGGTAACATTTAACAAAAATTTCTTTCCATATGCTAAAAATATGTTTTATTAATGATACTTAATAGACCAAAAGACTACATTTAGTGCTGTTTGAATTAAGAATAACTGATTCACATGAACCCAAACCTGGCGCCAGAGCTCATATTCACACAGCAGCAGAATCTAGAAAAGACAGAATTTTTGGAATTTAGGGAAAGCACTGGGACCCAACATTTAGGGGTGATAAAAATTTAGAACTTAGAGAGGCGCTTGTTAGTAAAATTTAGGCCCCGCAGATATTGCATTAGGCGGTAAGGTATCTAGCACCAGCCCTTGATAAGCCTTAAGTATATGTGTGAATTTATATATTCAGGACTCAGATAAGCCTTAAGCATGTGCAAAAAATAGATGTAAGTGTGATAAATAACTAAGATATTGAATTCAGGCTTTATTGTCTTAGTACGTGATAGAAGCAAAACTGAATTTAGCGAAACAACTTCTCTTTTGTCAACAGTCTCATGATAGCTGATACTGAAGCTGCTGAACTATTTGCAGATAAATTATTGAACTCACTAACAGTGAAAGTTTATCTCAACAAATTTACAATGCTAGTGAAACTGGTCTTTTATGGCAATATGTACCGCAAAATACTTAGGCAAACTCTACAGAAAAGGCTCCAACTAATATCAAAGATTCCAAAGCAAGACTAATGAATTTTAGCTTGTACAAATGCTGCAGGAATGCATAAGTGTAAGCTTTACATAATCAGAAAAAGTACAGGACATCGAGCATTTAAGGGAGTAAAGATTTTCACCGTTATATAACATGCAAAAAACAAAAAACAAAAAAATGTGAATGGCACAAGCTTTAATAAATTAGTGCTTTGAAAATCATTTCATACTTGAGGCTCGGTAACATTTGAATTTGGTTGGTTTACCTGATGACGCAAAAATTATTCTGATTGTAGACAACTGTATGGCTCGTACTTCACTTAAAGTTTTAGTGAAAGATAATGTATCTGCATTATCTTTTCCTCCAAATTGTATGTCCATCATTCAGCCTATAGGTATTGGATTAGAATGTGAGCTGAAATGTATAAATATAAAATAGCATTTTTAAAATCCATGTTAAATTTCTTGAATAATTTCAAGACTATTCAATAATCTCTGAAATATTTTTGTATAAAATCTGCTGTGTGGAGCATCGGAAGATCGTGGGAGGATGTGTCTCCAGATATTATAAAAAATGCTTGGCATAAATTATGGCCAGCTACCAGATTTAACGGTGAGAGTGATGAAGATGATAATTGGCAAATTTGAAGGTTTTCGGATATCGCAAACCAAAGGTGAAATTTTCCAGGTAATGGATTTCGTAAAGAAAATGTGGAGAAACAGTAATAAATGAAGATGATAGAAGTTTTTCATTGTGGTAACAATGCCCCGATCCTCAATCAGTTGACGGGCGGTGAAATCTGTAGGTCTAGATCCAGAAAATACCGCTACCGATAGTGAAAAAGTGACAGAGTGCTTATTGAAAATGAAACAATTCGGATTGATAATTTAGTCAGAATTCTTGACACAGCATGACTTGAACAAAATGAAACATTGTAACTTAATAAGAAATTTTGTCTGTGTATAGAATTAGAAAGTATTAGCACAAAAATTAAAGCAACTTGAACAACTTACATTCAAAGAAATGTTTAATAAAGTAAATAAATAATAAATAAATATTGAGCCTTTTTCTTGTAAATTTTGACACCCTTTAGATCATAAATCAAGATTTCGTATTTTTAATTTTAAAATTTCTACGTGCCATCTTACTAGATTTAAACTGATGGTCTAGTATCCGGAAAAATCCCAAATCCGGAATCTCTGAAGTCCTGACGAGTCGGGATCTCGGACTTTGTACTATATTCCTTACCCAGTTATGTCAAATTTATTGATCCATGCTTACATTCTGTGAAGCAGTGTAAAAATTATACATTAGAGCACTGGGAGTTTAAATGCAGATCTTAAATCAAATTGGAGAATGTTCTCAATTAGTTAAAAGTTTAGATCAATTTAAAAAGCTGAAATCATGAGCTTGTATGCTTTAAAGAAACATTTTAACTTTAATGATGTAAATTATTCTCTACAAATCATAAAACAATTGAGTTTACAACAGTTATAACTTTTGGCACATGTTTGTTGTTGGATTTTAGACCTAAAATGCTTGGGCATGCAGCAATTTCATATATAGTCTTCCCTGTGCAGTAGCTGCATGTGCTGATCTTCCATTTACAATAAATGCTGTTCTTAGAGTTGATGCAGCCATTCATGGATTATGTGGTAATCCTTAGATAACCAAGAGCAGGTCTCCTGTCAATCCAACTCACTCATTTGAAATAGTTTCTAAAAGGTGAAAGAAATGTCTATTGAAAATGTAGCTTATCCTAAATCAAGCTGATTAATAGCATTAGCATTGAGTATATCCACTCATCTTCTTTGAGCTATATAATTGATCTTATCTGATAAAAAAATCATCTTTCAAAATTTTTTCGACTGTTAAACTGCTCTACTCTAAACCTTCGTAAAGGCAACATTTTCAAGCAGTGTATAATATACACATTTGTGGAGAGAAAATTCTACTTGTTTAAATCATATGCTATTTGCATACTTGTTGAACAAATGATTAAATTTACTGTCAGCCTATATCAGTGAAATCTCTTGAAAGAAGTGGCTGCAGAGAGGTTCTGAGGTTCCCTGTTAAAGACTTGAGTTTCTTACAACCTACCTAGCTATGGGTGTAGAGAATTTTTGAGCTAAACATGGCTATTTGCAAAACCATCTCCATCATATGAGATTGGTAAACTCACCATCGTGTCTATAAATATGGTGTGTCTATGCCAGGCTGTGTGTGTCTACAATACTCTGATCTTAATGACTTTGTGAAGAGTCCTTCTGAAGATGAAGCTGACTTTTTGCTTTTTTCAATACCTTTACTAGGTTGTTCGGCAGAGACTAATGGCTGAGAAACAAAGGTCCAGCAAAGGGTTAAAAAAAAAACTATTTCCGTGTTCCATTATGAGTTTCATCTAGTGAAATTGAAGTGTGTCTAATCTTTTGCTTAAAATTTTGGAAAGTAGGTTATGTTCAGGCTGATGACATAATAAGCAATGCTGAAGAAATCTTTGAGGAAACAAAAATATCATTTACTTACTTTAGATACAAGAAGCAGAAATCATTTAAGAAGTTCGATTGCGAAATAAAGTTTTTTGAATAATTTATTTGGGACTTGTGATTTATAATGGAATACATTCATGAACTGATGTATCTAGATTTTTATTTGTTAAGAAAATAATGTATCAATCGTATACGAACAAGAGGGTAAAAATTTATAGCTTATGTTAAAATCAGCTAAACCTGTTATGCATATTATTTTTATTTCTTGTTACAAATTAATATACAGTCAAATTCACATTAATCGGTAGTGGATTAACTGAATTTTCCCTGAAAAATGCATTTGTTTATTGTGGAAATATGGAAGAATTAATATCTTATGCCATCAAAATAAAGCAAAATTTCTGCAGGAAATACAAAAGTGTTTGTATAAAGTGTGTTTGATAACAGCAGTTATTGCAGATAATGTCATAATATTTAGGCATTGTTTTTATCCACAATAGTTTATAATTTTGCATAATCTGGAATACAGAAAAATCATTATATCATCCTAAAAATTAAATTGCTAAATTATAAAAATAAAGAGTGCAGCCATTAGACGTACAAGAGTTATATAAACAAAATAGTTCTTTGTGTTTTGAAGTGTATTGGAGTTTTGACTGTTGAATTAATTTAAAAAACCAATAATTTATGAACTCATTCAGATCAAACTGCTTAAAAATACAGGTAAATTGTTAATAGTATTTTTCCATTAATTGTAATATGGGTTATTCTACTTTCTTCTGTTTTCTTTTAATTGCTGTCAGATTAACCATGAACGTAGTCCCTGCTGCTACTCCAATTACTTGGAAGTCTTCTGTACTTTTCTATGCATTTTTCCATATTTAATGCTTATGTTATTTATATGTGCTTTAATGCATACATCTGTTGTTTAATTTCATACTTTCTTTTCTTTAAAAGAGCAGAATTGAAGATATACAAAGTCATTTACAGGGAATGGATTTATCCCCACTAAAGAGAATGATGCAGGCATTAAAAGATAGTGTTATTAAAGCTGAAGATAAGGTCATCTTTATTTTTTCTTTTAATTAAAAAAAATGTTGTGTTTGTTAAACATAAAAGTATATTATCATAGAGTGTATACTTTTAGAGTTTTTCTAGTATACGACATGATTGCAAATCATTACAAAGTAATTCATTAAAGCTGAGGTCTCGAAAGTCGTATTTCATTTAATATTTAGCTGTGTAGCTAATAGGTCTGAGGTTCGATCCCTGGGCTGGGCAAGGTTGACTCAGCCTTTTCGTCCTGTCAGTGGATCAATAAAATAAGTATCACGTTCTCTTGGGGGACTAAGCACCAGAGGTCCTGCGACAAACTGACCACTTGTCCAGGGTGGATGCTCATGCACTCCGGAGCCAATGGTCTAGAAAGCAGATATCGGCACTTCCAGCCATGGTTCTCTAAGGACTGTAGCACCACAAGTTTAATTTAGTTTTAGCTAAATAGTTGTATTTCATTTAATATTTAGTTATGTAGCTAATAGTTGTATTTCATTTAATACATTAAAAGGTTGCATTTCATCTAATATTTAGTTCATAGCAGTGATGTGAAATCATTGAAAGATAATACTTAACTGCATTTTTTAGAACATAATAATAAAGTTTCAATGCAGATTAAATTAATACAAAGATTTAATTATGTTAGCTAAATAGCTATTTTATTAGCACAATTAAATATTTGTATTAATTTAATTGTGCTAATGAAATAGCTTATTTTTATAGTATCTTGAATTAAAATTGAAATGCTGTTAAATTCTTAATGTGGTAAAAACCAGCAATAGCTTACTCATCTGCACATCATAAGCTGAGTGGCTGAATTTTTGGCATTCTCATTTGCTTCCAAAACTGACACAGTATCATTCTATTAAATAGTGACATAATAACATTAAATTTGTATGAATTGAATAAATGTCTTTTCCCTTTATTGTGTCTTAAGTATCTCATTGATCAATTTTTTGTTTCATTCTCAATTAATTCATACATTTTAAATATATGAGAGTGTACCCAAAAGAAACCGAACTAATTGTTTAGTGGGCAGAGTTTTTATAGTACCATGTTTGCCACTAGGAGCACATAAAGCAGATATTCCTGAGTCAGTAAGCCGAGTGCTGTTGCTAAAGGAGAACTAGTTTTGACAGAGTTTATAGTAACAACTGTTTTGTGTGATCATTGCTTTCACAATGGCTGCTTTTTGTGAACAGCATGTGGTGATGAAATTCTGCTTTTTGCTCAGAAAACATAGAACAGGAACTTCAACCGTTAAAAATAGCATACCAGGGTGATGCTATGGGGAAAATTCAAGTGTTTTAGTGGTTTTCTTGTTTAAAAAATGGTGAAATGTCAGTTGATGACAAACCTTACTCTGGTCATCCTTCCACTTCCCAACACATGAAAATGATGCAAAAATTCATGCAGTGATCAACGAAGATCGACGACAGACCATTGAAGAAATTGTGTAGCTGTCGGGAATGACTTTTGCCAGTGTTACATGTACAGTCATTCAGAAGAATGTACATTGGATTGAACTGCATAAAGTTCTTGGACACAAAGTTTTCTTGAAATATATTTTAGACAATGTGTTAAGGAAAGCTTGATTCCAGAAAGTAGCCACTCTTTAGGACTCTTTTTTTTTTTGGTGTTTGGGGGTGTATAAATATTAGATGTTAAAGAGATTTTCCACCTGAAAGCTGCTGTCTTTATTTTATAGTTGGAAGTGCCTATTAATATTGGATATAAATATATGTATTTATTTATTAAAGTTACAAAACAATTTTTCAAAAGCAAAATGTAAACATGCCTAGTATTTTTGCACATTAAGCTGCTGAAAAATTATCAGTAAAGACATAAAGAAATTTATAACTAATTTTTCACAAAGACCAAAAATTGAAATTCATAATTAATAAATTTCAAATAATCCCATAAATGTAATAAAGAATTTAAAAAATATTAAAACTACAACTTTTCAAACAAGCAATACCCCAGTTAAAAAAATTAATGAAATTTAAAGAAAAGTGAACATAATAGAAGAAGGATTCAATCAACTTCAATGCCACTTTGTCAGGAGGAGGAACACTGAAATCAATTGAAATGTCTGTTCCACAAAAGTCTTTTCTGTATCCAGAATTAGTCGATGAACCATTTCAATGATGTATTTTAATTATAATAGTTCATCTGGAAATTCTGGCCCCCTCCCAAATAAGGAAAAAGTAAATTCTAATTAGAATCTTTTATCTTAGAGAGAATTTCATTTAAAGAATTGAAAACATAAGTGAAATAGTAAAATACTTTAGTGAAAAGTTTAAATCAAAGTTTTTGCCTTTAAACAAATAGCATATAATCCAAAGAATTTAAAACATCTTTATTTATTAAAGTATAAATTAATGTAGTTTATTAATGTAGTAATAAAGTATATATTAATGTAGTTTATAGTTTATCTTCTAGAAGAAGAATTTATAAAGATTAATTAAAATAGTGAGCTGTAATAACATAGTTTAGTAAAAAGTTTAGGGAATTGCCTATTGAAAGTAAAACAGAAACTTCATTAGAAGGAAGAATTTTATATTAATAATATAGAAAAAATTATGGTTATTAATCAGAAATTAATTGACTTTACAAGGGGAACAAGTCAATTTCCTATTAATTCACAATAATTAATAGAAGCGAATGTGTTTTGTCATCTTATTATGCAAGAACAGTCATGAAAACCAATTCAAGTCTAAAAAGGTAGCCAAAAAGTTCAGGTAGTTCAAGTCAAGCTATGAATTAGTTTTGGCTACCCTTTTTACCCTACTTGACATGATTTCATTCATACTTGGGTTAACTCAGTTTAAGTTTATTACAGTGCTTTCTGTTATTCAAATTTATGTACAATACTTTTTGCTGTTTTCTTCCTCTGTGTTTTGTTGTATGTATGGGAATTTTAATGTTATATTAATATTACTTCATTAGGCTCAAGCCAAAGCAATTCTTATAGAACAGCTTCAAGGACATTTGACATCAACTATCAAAGAGGTGAGTAGTCATGATTCATTACCTAGAGATATAATTTGTTGATGACACAGTGTTCACCTTAAAGGCTATTTAAATCTGATGTTTTTAAAAGCTGGTATATTTTTTTATACAAAATGTTTTTGCAGATAATATAAAACTTCCTGTTTTACTGCTAGTTTCTTTAGAAAAGTTGAGAATTCCATTGACGTATTACATATTTTATTTCAATATTTCTTTAACCAATGTGATTGATTTGGTACTTGTTAAGCATTATCTTATGGAGATTGTTCTCATAAAAATGTAATTGTACATTATAGTCTTATTATGATCCTGAATGTTTTCATGGTTTGGATATTTCACATAAAATGAAGCTTAAAATCAAGTTATTTTATTTACTACACAGTCAAACTTCATTTGCGAAATAAGTGGAATATTGTTTTTCTTTGATTTTACTATGCCATTGATAGTAAAATGCACTTCTTAATTTCAGTACCTCCGCTCTCCCAAATCCTTTGTTTCAGAGGAAAAAATTTGCTACGTGCAGTTTTTAAAATAATTGCATGTAGCAAATTTTTGAAATCATAAACTACTGTATATTAATAGCAATAATGTCCTGTTGAGGTTAGCAGTTTGGACAATCTGTTGAGGTTGCAGTTCTTTTTAAGACATATCAGTTTTGGAGTAATAAAATAAATGTTGAAGAGTTTGTGAAATCATTCTCTTAAAACTTCTACATTCATATGAAAACTGAATGGAAACTTGACCGTATTTTGGAAATAATGTGTCCTAGAAGAGAAGCATATTATTTGGGCAAAAGAAGTTTATAAATTGCTAGTTATAGATCAGTTATTGGCAGTCATTTGAAGTCATCAGTTATTTGAAGAAAGCTGAATTTGCTCTTCTGTCAGCTTTTGAATCATCTTATGACATCCGAATAAAATTTAAGTCCGATGAGAAGTGCTTCGAGTCCCCAGAGAACGCAATATCTGTGCCTTCAAAAGCTTGCATGAAGCTGAAAATGACCAAATACAAAGGTATTGAGAAATATTATAGAAAAGTAAAGGCAAGGGTCCCTTGAATCCATGATTGTTTATATTAAAATTGTGTTGTATGTTTATTTTCATTTTGAAATTATTGGAATAGTATTGAAATTTTCTACATGTAAATCGTTCTGAACATAATTTTGAAAAATATTGTTTCTATGTCTGTTTCTATTTTATTAAAATAGTAAACAATCAATATGAATGGAAGCTATTAGTACTCATGTCGTAAGTCATATACTATGCACTGCAAAGTCACTATTACACTGTAAAAGTTCTTATGCAACCTTTATTTTCAAAAGTCTTTGTTGTAGGCAGATACTTCCGGTTGCAAAAATGTTTTAAATGGTTCTAGTGTTCATGTTTTGGTATTTTTAAATTTAAAGAAATTTTATAAAAATTAGGAAATTTTAACTTTTTTTACAGTTTTTATCCAATTAAAAGTTTTGTACAGTAATATTTAGTAAGAGGTACAAAATACGTGCATAGTTATATATATAGTTCATTATGAACAAATAAACTACAAAGCATTTGACTTCCATGGGACAAAATTATTTGTGATATTTAATTCCAGAATTTGAGATTATTAACATGCTTTTGAATAGTTCTTGGGGTGGTCAATTGAAATAATTTAAGATTGATTTTACCCCTTTAATTTCATTCAGCAATATTTTGTGATTTACAAACATGTTACATTCTTTATAATTTTGCTATATATAGTATGCCAAAAGAATTTTCACACAAGTAATTTATGTTTTCAATTGCTAAAAGTATGTTACAATTTTCATGCGCTATTAGAATTTTAGAATCATAATCAAGTAATTTCTATTATTCAGTAATGAAGAATCCATGCTTGTGTGTGTTCTTCACATTGTGGAAAAGCAGTGGCACCAAGAGACACTAGATTTTTAATACACATAATCCTTAACATGTGCACTTGTAAGCCCAATTTAAAATTTGTGTTTATATTTATATCCTATTCTGTGCAGGTTTGAGGAATTTTTGGTTTAATTTAAAGAATTAAGAAACTTAACACTCTAAAAGTGATGTTTTGCCACTTTGCTAAGTATAAAGTATTTATTTCCATGAACGAGTGTTTTTTTACTTCCTTGTATGAAGTAAAAGGAAGTATTGTAATCGCAAAAAACTTCAGGCACCATATTTTAACAGAAATATCCATTTTGACCGCTATTGAATGCAATTTAATGATATTTTTGCGTGACATCCGTACGTAAGGACAGAATAAAGGACTCTTATTCCCCAAAACAATTATAAAACTGTTTTAAAATGAATTCTGAAGAGAAATTTTCGTGGCATCTGTGTGTATGTACGTATGCATGTATCTCACATAACTCAAAAACAAGTAGCCTCAGAACATTGAAATTTTGTATATAGGATTGCTATAGCATGTAGATGTGCACCTCGTAATTTGGTTGCAGTCAGCCGCACCAAAAGTATATATATCTCCACTCTGTTACTCAGCTCTGTAATCTCAGTTTCTTTATTCTTATATGTTTGTAAATTGGGCACTTTTTGCTTTAAAAGTGGTTGAATTATGTTGTTCTTATCTTCCGGTTAAGTTTTTTTATACCTTTCTTTAACATAATGCGATAGTTGTAGAATTATTAACAATTTAAAAGTTGTTTAAGTGCTGCTAAGCCTTTTTCAATGGCAGCAATGTTTGTTTACATTTGAAACAGCAGAATAGCATATTTATTGCCAATCTAGAGAAAGTAAGCTTTGCAAAAACAAAGATAATGTCTTCTTTTATTGTGAATTAAATCATGCTTAATCCATTCTGGAATTTATTCGAGGAAATAAGTGTTTAAGATTTACTTCATAATTTTTAGTGTAGATATTTTGAGTTTTTACGTATTTTTGCCTTGTCGCGAAGTAAAAACTGAATTAATTGAATGAAAAATACTGAATCGTCTGTGAAAAACCTTTATTTATTAATTTTTTGTTGTTGTTGTTTGCTTAACTTCCTTTATACATCGTTTTAGATTATTATAGTATTTGAATAGAATATGTGGCAACGATTAGATAATTCTTAAGATGATATAAATTTTGTGCATTCTGAGTTAAAAAATGAATGAAATTTTATGCTGTTAAGCGAACCTGGGGCCGGAGTGTCGCTATGGTAAACAAATATAGTGAATTTTAAAGAGTGCATTTATTCTATTGTGGTTTATGCACTAATGACGAAATAAATTTAATTCAATTCAATAAGTTTAAAGGAAATGTAAGAAAAGATTTGTATAATATAGTATTCCATACAAGGAAGTCATGTGGTGTACACATCAGATTTTTTATTTGGTGGATGTAACACATTTAATTTTTCTGTTAAATTTAATCTGCTATTGATTAACAAACTAAATGATTTAGAAGCAATAAATAGCTCATTTATTAATTAGAATGATACATATGCAGTGGTTACACTCATTAAAATTATTATATATTCTTTCTTTTTTTGTAAATTTTAGGGTGGCTCGTTGCACAAGCAACTTTAGCACAAGTAAAAAAAAAAATTCATGAGCAAAGAAATATTTTTCGTTTTTAATTTATGCAAATAATATTACAAGTATGTACCAAAGTTGAAGGGCTGCCAGTGTTCTGTGCAGCATAAATTCTACCAGTTGCTGTGAATAAGATTCTTCTTTGAAGGGGAGAGGGGGAATTATATTGATTAATATTTTCGTGATAATCTACATAGAAGCCCTCATCAGCTTATCTGTTAACACTATAAAACTTTATGTAAACTGATATTTTATTTTTAGTTATGCACAAATGCAAACATTTTGCTCTTCATTTTGTGGGCAGCTCCTGAATGTAATCTCAAATTTTAAATTTAAATATTTGGCTTAATTTTTGTCATACAGGTGTTATTGTATTTTTTTATAATAAGAGTAAAATTTTATTATTATAACATTATTCATGTATTAATAATAATGAATAAGATAATGCCTGTTTTCTAAATAAGTACTGCCCATTTAAATAGCAAAAGATGATTAACATATTTATCATCTCTGCAGGTTGAGCTTAAAGATAAAACATTGAGTAATGTTGAAAAAAAGTTAGATCTATCACGTAATGAATGTGCATCATTAAAAGAACAACTTTCTGTTGTGAATGTTGAACTTCAGCGTGTATTAAAAGATCTAGAAGATGTGCATATGCTAAATGATAACTTGAGACTAAAGGTAAGCATGAAAATTTTGATAAAATCTAGCACATATAAGTAATAACTTTTATAAAAAAGATGAAATCCAAAATTGTTTTAAACTTTCTTGTAGAATTATTCACAAGAGACTGTGGAAGATTTATGCAGATTCTATTGAAATGAAATTTTCAACAAAATCTATTGTTATTTTAGATTAGAAAAAAATCTATTGTTATTTTAGATTCTATGATTGAAATGATTATTTATATATTAGCAAATCTCTCTTTTAAGCATTACTCTTAACAAGTGAAATATAAAATAAGTGGAATTTTTGTGTAATGAACTCCAGATATAATGAATGAAACTCTTGGTTCAATCGAATTTCCTGTATTCGTAATGTTACTTTATACTGCTATAACAAACTTCCAAATGTGTGAAAGTCGAATATAGCAAGCTCTATGGACATCTTCAATGGAAACCCTTTTTTTTTTTTTTTTTTTTTTTTTTTTTGTATTTTTAATTTTCTTTTAGAATCCCTGGAAGTTTTTAGATAAAAAAAAATTACTAATCATTAAAGTCATCCACATTTAGTATATTAGGATCTGCAGTCCATCTGTAAGGAAAACATCTTTAGGTTTTTTTTTCTTTTATCTTCCCCCACCCCCTTTTCTTTGTGTTCTAAACAAAGACTATGCAAGACAGCTGTGACATTGAGCTCTAGGAGAACAAGGATACAATAAACTTATCATAGAATGCCATGTAGCATATCTGACTATTGAAACAAAAAACATAAATGGGTTCTGTGATTGAGCTGCCCAACACCTCTATTCAAGGCTGATGCTATAATGGAAATTTTGAAATTTTTGCTATCCATGGAAAAAGAATGTAATGAATCTTATGAACTTGTGGTTTTACTGCTGATTCTTCTTTTAGGGAATAGAGGTTCTGTATTCTTTAGATCTTTTGCCAGACATAGGATATTCTTCAGAAAGGTTACTGAATCTTTCTATTGCAATCTTTAGCAAAATGATTGTATTTTCACTAGATATTGAGTGAAAAAACATATGTGATAAAATTACTTTTCTTTTCATCTTTTCCAAAAGAGAAAAAGTCATGCATTTTCATTGACCAAACTCTCTGCATTCTCTTTCTGTGTAAAAGTTTTTCCACATGGCGAGCTGCAACCGTAAAGCTTTTGCACTGAAGATGAGGTTAGGGTGATGGTGGTATGCTGCATTTGTAAAGTTGTGAATTACCTACTGCATGTAGAACAAAAATGCATGTAATATAAATCTACAAGAAGCTCTATTACTAACACAATAATGACAATTAATATTGGTAAGATAAATATTGTAAGCTACTGTCCTCGTTTTGTGAGGATCTTGCTAGCAGCAAGAGGCTCTCTATTCGAGTGCAAGAGCATTCTGAGTTCTTGTGTTGTCTAAAACAATTTCCTGATTGACTTAGTCATGCTTTCTTAATTTTTCGGTTTTATTTTGTCCTGACTCCTTATAATTGAGAGAATATCAGAGGAGCAACAGGATCATTGGACCGTTGGAGCCGTAACTGAACAATTCATCGCTTCTACTATGTCAGAGCTTGTCATCACATATCTCGTAACAGCTCAAACACTGCGACCTGTGGGGAAATGCACACATGAATTTCTAATCTTTGTGCAATCTGCTGCATATTTTCTCTGTAGTATCATTGTGATGATGTATAAAAATCACGGAAATGCACATCACCTGGAATGGGTTTGATGAATATTTGTTTTGGTGTGATTTGCAGGTATAGGTTTTTCAGTATCAGGAGAGCATAATTGTTGTTCAGGAGAGCATGTTCATATTAGACATAAATGGTGGTTTAACATAATCGATTGAGACAAATGATTTTTGGATGAATGGATGATTTGAAACTTTTACACGATGTAGAAGCAGTTTAAAATGGCCGTTGTTAAGTTGGTTGTGTTGTGTAAGAAAAACCTATGTTTTGTTTCTATACTTTGCCGAAAAATCATGGGCACCAATGCTGTGTTACAACTTCCTCTTAGGGAGGAAACTAATGCAGAAACAGACAGGTGAAACCGCAACTAACTAAATATCAACTGAGAAACTAAACTCTTAAGAGTTTGCTAATTACCAAACTTTTAGTGATCGTATCAGTGAATTTTTTAATGCATTTGCGTTGTGAAAAATTGCATCCCGTGGACCGCGCCGTGAGAGGATCAGATAACAACATGTAAAATCATATAGATATAACATATACAAGATATATAGGAAAAACATATTACAGTATATAAAGAAACATAAGTAATAGGTTTCCAGATTAAATATCAGTTTATTCGAATTCATCAACCAATAAAAATTAAAATCTTATCCTAATCAGAGAGTCAAATTTCTATTTGTTTTACATTTTCAATTTACTTATTTAGACACAGGGGAATTCTTCAATTTGTCATTTACTTTTTGTTACATCTAAATTCATGATTTGCAAATCTATTACATGAATCTTTTAATTTAACGGGTACCCGTTCTATAATTTCTAAGAGGTTAAGGAAAACATATTATTTGCAATTCACATCTGTTCTAAGGAAGATTACACAAACAACTTAAATTATTACATCCTAATTCATATAAAGACCTTAAGGTTTGTCTCGATAATTTAGAAGGGGAAAGGGAAACAATTGAAAGCCCGAGAATTAATTTAAGATTTGACGTTGTTATTTTACATTCCAAGGAAGTCGTTGAAACCTTAGTTAAAGTTCAAACACAAAAAAATAGAAACTTATCTTGTGGTGTACATCTTGAAGTGGAGGACTCGTATCCTAATAAGAGTTGACGTCGCCGGCGCTTATCCATGGTTGCAAATGGAAGTTTCAGAGGACATCGTCCTGTCCTGGCACTATTGGCGAAACACACACGACTGGTAACTGGTTTTCATAACGACGAAGCAATTTTCACTCTGGACATCAGAAATAGGAGCACTGCTGCCGGAAAAGTCTCTCTAGGCAATTACAGCTCGCCTTCTCTCGCTCCCCAAGAGCAAGCTCGAAGTTACAATCTTAGCCCAAAAGTAAGTAAGTCCACCCAGTAAGTGATTCCAAGAGTAAGTGAGTAAAGTGTCTCGCCTCTTAGTCAAAACGCGGCCGCGGAGCATCTCTCTTCGTAAATTACATCGTTTCTAACGCTCAACCCCAGAGCAAGTTTCAAGAGTAACGTCCAAAAGTAAGTTCCGCACGAAAAGTCATTCCAAGAGTAAGTGAGTAAAGTCTTTTAAATCTTTCAGCAAATACTCATACCTCTTCAATCTCGCCTCTTAACCAAAACGCGGCCGGGGAGCATATTTGCCGCTCCCCGCCGGGAAACACCTCTCTTCGTAAATTACATCGTTTCTATCGCTCAACCCCAGAGCAAGTTTCAAGAGTAACCTCCAAAGTAAGTTCCGCAAGCAAGTCTCGCCAAGTCTCGCACGAAAAGTGATTCAAACTCGAAATTTTCTTCCTCTCCTTCACAAACGCGGGCTCCCACTATGGCTTCAATTATCGCCCCCTTTAATTTTGGCAAAATTTGCGTTTTCAACCCCTGAATGCGGAAATAAGGGTGATCGCGCAATGCGCGCTCCTTCCTTCACCTAGCCAACAACCGGACCCTTCCGATCGCCAAAACCTGAATGACTTACCATCGAAGGTTAAGTGGCAACCTCTGACCCTTCTGTCACGTACTTCCTGTCCTAACGTCAACTGCACAATGAAATTTCTTCTAGAACATTCTAAAGGACAAGGCGCGCGAAACCATGACTTAGCAAAATTGCCTCCCTTTCCCTGCTTCTTTTCACAATGAATCAAAGCTTGTACAAAAATTGCAAATAAAAGAAAAATAAATAATATCCTTTAAACTAAATAATATTCCCAGAAGCATCTGTTTTTCCCCAAAATTAAAGCATTAAAATAAATAATTCAGAATCAAATAAAATTAAGATTTCCATAAATCAGTAAATCATTCACTAGTTTTTATAACGCGATCAGACAAATTCTCTTCGCAACAGTTGTGTCCATTGTACTGCATCATATTAGACAAACACATATCAACACTTTTGAAATCTTTGTGGATAAACACAGCTTTAGTTGCACATGATCCAGTTGGTTTTGGTTTAAGCTGCTGTATAGAGCTTCAGAGTTGTTTAATATGTTAAACAAGATCAGTTTTAGCATTCGTTGTGTGGGTAAAAAATCACACGGAAGTTTAATTGTAGTTCTATACACAAGGTTGAGTGGGAGTGCAACTAATATTTTCTTTAAGAGCTCTTATCAGTCCAAGTAGTAGCACATTTGTTCAATCCCCCCCTTTTTTTTAAGTTTTGTGACATGTTAATGCATATTTTAATGGACCATGAAATTGCTAAAGCTATTGTTTTGTGGATGATTAGCAGTTTTGCATATTCATTGTACACTTAGGAGTTTTATTAGAGCCTTAAATAAACAAGACTGGGATTAATGTCCTTGATCAGGTGTAATAGTAGCTGGAACACCAGAGTAAGAAATCCACTTCGCTTAGAAAGCCTCTACTACTGTTGTAACTTGAATTACAATAATGGGGTTGGCTTCCATCCATCTGGTGAAATGATCGATAGCTGTGAGACTATATGGAATCCATTTGAAGGGCTGATAAGATTTAAATGAATATGTTGAAATCACTTAGAAATTTCATTAAATGATTGTGCACTTGTTGAAGTATATTTTGGGTTTTTGGCATGGAATGTGCTGTCTTTGCTCGATTTGTGACATCTTTGCTGATATTTGGCCACACGTTTTTGTCTGCAAACTAATTTTGATGTCATTTGAATGACTGAATAAGCTAAATTATGTATGTAATTAAAACAATTTTGGAATGCTCTGAGGATATAAGGTCTTGTTAACTAGTTGGTGTATCACTATATAATTCTGTTTCTGAATTTGAAAGTTTGAACTTTTTATTTTTCAAAGAATTGTTAGGATTTAATTTTTCTTTTACCTCATTGTCTTGTTTGTGGCTTAGCAGTTTCTTTTGAATCAATATAACCAATAATTCTAATTCCGCGAATGTGAAATAATATTTCGGTAACTATATTATTGGTACCTTTTATGTCCTGGATATCAGTTGTGAACTGCAAAATGAAGTCTAGTTGATGACTTTGACGTAGAGTGCATTATTCAGGTTTTCATTTGGAATCAAATATTAGTGGTTTGTGATCAGTAAATGCTGCAAATTTGTATCCCTCTAGCATGTTCTAAATTTCCAGATGGCTACGTAGATTGTTAATAATTCCCTAGTATACGCATTGTATTTTGTCTCAGTGGTTGTGAACTTTCTAGAAAGTACTAGAAAATAGTAGCTGGAAAAAAGTTCCGAGTCGATTCTTAATAGCTTGGTTCAGAGATCTGCCAGTAGTGTAGTTAGATGCATCAATTTGAAGAACTGCAGATGCATTTGTTGAAAATGTGCTAATAATGTAGCATTTGTTAACTGTTGTTTGGCAATTTCAAAAGCTTTACTTGTGCGAATAGACTAAGAAATTTTGTTTATGTCATTCTATTTTGAACCTTTAAAGTAGTCTGTGAGTAGTGCTTGGCTATGCTTGGCATGTGGCAGATATCTATGGTAAAAATTTTGAAACACTAAAACTCAAATTTAACAGTTTCTAATATTCTGAAGCTAAAAATTGCATATGCTCTTTCTGGTAAAGTTTTACTCCCATTCTTGGTTATTAAATGGCATAAGAATTCTATTTTAGGAACGATAGAAATACATTTTATAGTATTTAGTCCATATTTGTTTAGTTTGTGTAAAATTTTAGAAATGTGTTGTGTATGGAGTGCTTAATTTTCGGAGAATACTAGAATGTCATATAAATATGTGTAACAAAAATTTAGTCTTCATAACATTTCATGCAGGAAACACTAGAAGGTTTGAGTAACATTTTTTAGTCCAAAATTTAAGTAAAGAAACTCAAAAAGACCAAAAGGAGCAATTACTGCTGTTTAAGATATGTGCTTTTCATAAATGATACGTACTTTTCATATGATGACATGTACTTTTCATGTGATGATAAGTCCTGGCAATATCTAATTTAGGAAACACTGTTTTGTCATGAAGAGATTGAGTGAAATCTTGTATATGTGGAATAGGATATGAATCGAAAACTGTAATGGAATTAAGTGCTCTGTAGTTTCCAAGTGGGCTAATGCTGGTAGGCTTTTTATGTAGTATGTGTAAAGATGATGACCAATTAGGTTACTTTTAGAACCTGACAAATTCCCTGTTTTAATTTATATTTGAACTACCCCCCCCTTTTTCGTGCTTTATCTTAAGCTTCGGGTAGAAGCTGTCTAGCTTTGGAGTGGACTGATGGTCCTTTAGTTTCGATATAATGAACTGTGTCATGTTTGATTGTTTTGCTGTGTATAGAAAGATTAGTTAAGGAAATTGTGTAGAAATTTTGTTATATGGAGAGCATTGCAAAAGAGTCTTGGGAATTAAAATGTCAGCTATTATGAAACCCCATATAAAATTTCGCCTCAGATCAAAGTTAAATTTAGTTGATTAATGCCATACACTTTACTTTTACTATTTCCAGCAAACAGCTGTAGTGCAGTAGCATTGACATGTTTTCCTCTTCATGCAGGAATGTAGAAAAATGCGGCAACCTATGTCAACAAGAAATTTCATGTGTGTATATTTTTCATATATCTGTAATCTGTTGCAGGTGTTTGCTGCTATTCCAGTATCCACGACTTGTTTCAGAACAGTGGCTAAAATTAGTTTTCTGACTAAAAAGTGCACTGAAAAAGGCAATTAGGAGAATCAGATTTAAACTTTTTTTTGGTAAAAGCAATAACTATTGTTGGCTTGAGTTGTGTACAAATTAAATAGCTTACTTTTTGAATAACTGTGGTTAGCATGCTTTCTTGGATTTTGATTGTACTGCTTTTGAGACAAGCATTATACTTACTTGATTCTGTGTCTATTTGTTCATTAAGCCTAGTGTTGAAGATAACTGTATATTTTGCTCAGTATTTGATGCTGTGCAAATAGTTTGTGGCTTCCAAAACTTTCATCTGTTGTTCGAGCTAGATAAGTTAAATCTGCTTTACAAGCTGATAAAATTGCTTGGAAAAGTCTTTGTATTAGAAGGAATTGGAAAGAAGTCTTTGTATCTACAAGTTTTTTGGAAATCATCATGAATTTTGTTTTACTATAACTCTCATTTGTTTTGAAAGGAAACAAATTTTTTCCCCACCTAATTGTAAATCCACTAGAAGAGTTTAGAGATTTCCCATACTTTGCAGTCTTAATACTCCGTCTGTCTTATGTCAAGTTGTAATATTTGTCATTTTAAGGAGGTGTGAAGACAATATGGGGTTTTAACGAACGTTTCCTGCCACTGCAAATATGGTCCGCCCAGTTCGTGTTGGCATGTTTAATCATATTTTGTCAAGCGATTTTTGGTATTTGAAAGAAAGAGACCTGCTGTAGAACACTGTGTTGTGGACGACTTTGTAAGAACATATCGTTATCATTAAGTACAAAGGGTCTGAAATGGAACTATCATGCTACCAGATTAGAACCATCATTTACTTCCAGTTCTGTTGCAAAAAGTCAGCTACAAAATATCACCATATCAGGTTTACAGCTTTAGATACTAATGTTGTATCATATGACACTGTGAAGGTTTGTCACTGAAAGTTCAAAAACAAGGACTAATGACATCCACGAAGCAGATTACTTTGGCCAGCCAATTCATGTTGATGAGGCTCACTTGTGAGAACTTGTGGAAGAAGATCAAGATGTGACACTGTGAAGGTTTGGCACCAGAAGTTCAAAAGCAAGGACTATGACATTTAAGAAGCAGAGTGCTTTTGGCCAGCCTACTGTTGTTGATGAGGCTCACTTGCAACAACTTGCAGAAGAAGATCAATATATAACCTCTTGAGAGTTTGATAAGGAGTTAGACGTTAGTGCCATGTCCATCAGTTGTGCTATGCATTGCATAAACTTGACATACAAGTTCAGTCACAAGTTGGGTGTCACATGAGCTGACTCAAGCAGATATGGACAAACATGTTTGGGCCTGCACTAATCTGCTCAAATATCTACACAAGGACAAAATTCTGGACCTGATCATCACTTGTGATGAAATGAGGATTTTTTTTTTTTCAACAACAAAGGCCAAAAAAGGGAGCTGTTCTGTGCCCGGTGAGCCCGTTGACAGCGTCATAAAGCACAGAGTTTAACAGAGAAAAAGATCATTCTTTGTATCTGGTGGCATTGCCATGGTATTATCCACAAACAGTATCTGAAAAAAAGGTAACACCGTCGACAGTAAGGTGTGCAGCGAGATGCTAGTCCATGTTGACACTAATATCAAGGAATAATGTTGAACTGAGTTCTGGCACAAGAAGTTCCATCTAGATAATGCAAGATAATATAAAATGCATAGATAAGATAACTATTGTAAGTTATTGTCCTCATAGGATCTTACTAGCAGGAAGAATCTCTCTAGTCGAGAGTGTATGAGCAGTCTGAATTTTTGCCTTGTCTAAAACAATTTACAGACTGAATTAATGATGCCCTCTTTATTTTTCGGTTGTATTTCATGTCTTATGACTCATTATAGTTAAAATATTACAGAAACAACAAGATTATTGGTCCATCAGCCTCCCTGAAATCAATAGGCTTTTGGTGACATATACAGTGTATATTGTTAAAAACCCTTAATAGGAGCAGGGAAGTTGCAATTTGTTTAATGTCAAATGGAGGCGTACCTGAATGAATCAATTGCTTCAATGTCAGAGCTGTCATCTTGCATGTCATTACAGCTCGACAACTGCAAGGGACTGCGCACATGCATTTTTTATCTTTGTATTGTCTGCCGCAAGTGAACATTATTTGAAAAATACAAAATGCATGCAGCAGAATCTGTATGTGCCAGAAATGCAATTTATCCAAATCTACAGTAGGTACCACATGACAAAATATAAACTTAATTTCTACTCATGGAAAATTTTAGGTACAAGAAAAAGAAGTAAAGAAAAATGGAGTGTATGTATGTTGAATAGCATTGCTAAAATGGTTCACAAATTAAAAAAAGAAAAAGAAAAGAAATTGCCAATATTTGGACAAATGCTTCACACTGCCAAAAGTTGTAGCATGAATTTGCAGGACATTTCGGAAAGCATAATAGTAATTGTAGTCAAATATTAATATTTTGTAAAAATTAGATGTATCATTCAATATATATGTATATATATATATATATATATATATATTATATATATATATTGCAAGATGTGATAACTAATCAGTTTTTTCCTTTTTCATTGTTGAAGTTTCACTTATTTTTGTGAGTTAATCCATTTTTCTTATAGGGTCTGATATAGTGAACCACCAGGTATAGCAAACCAAACTTTCAGTCCCTTGAAGTTCTTTATATTGAAATATGAATGTATAACAGTGTTGTAGAAATCTGCATTTCCTTTACTAATTAGATTATTAGGTGTATGTTAGTTATTACTCATGATAATTCAGATGCTTCTATTACCAGATGTAAAATTTTTTTATTAAAATTTAGTGTGATGCTAAAGAAGAAAAAATAGAAGAAATTTATGGTGAACAAAAATTGCTGCAAGACCAAAAACGTGCTTTAATGATACAGGTATTTTATTTTCAGTTATTTAGTGATATGTAATAATTAAGGAAGGTAATGTCATGCTATGTAAAGTTTGGACCTTAATTTCTTTTATTCTGTTTTCATTTGCATGTGAGCTTATTCTATATGCTGATTTTAAAATGATTAAAATTATTTCTATTACTTTTCATTCCTTTTACAAATTTCAATCATTTATTTTTCAGGTTTTGATAAAATTATACACATTTATTAGGCAAATTTATAATATCACAAACATAAAATGAAGATAAAGGGCCATTTAACACTTTCTGCCGATCACACACCAGCATGTGGTGTATGGTGATGTCTCAGACACTTGACATGTATTGTAATGGGAAAAGCAGTGCCTGATTGTTTATTTTCCATTTCAGTCTTCATTAATATGTTTTGAATATGTATGCTGGTATTGGCATGACGTGAAGGTTAGAAACTAGTTGTAAACGTATGTGGTTTCGTATAAAAGCAAAGTTTCGTTTACACAAATGACATTGTGAAATACATAGTTTGTAGTAATATTATTGTAACTACCTTGTAATATATTCATGTGTAGTATATATATTTGTGATATAGTTTGATACAAAAATAATTCATCTTTTATTTATTTTCATTTTGATTCGTTTTGAAATGTAATGCACCAGGACATAAGGTGGGTGGCATTGGGGAAATAATTTTACCTCTAGTGCCAATTACTTGCTGACATGTAGCCATAAAATTATCAGATTAAAGGTTTAGCAGTCAGTGTAATGCATAAAATCATCTTTAATTACCTCTTTTAAATCATATTTCTTGTAACAAAAATGTTGGCATATTTATACAATCTACTTCTATGTCAGGACGATAACTATTTCACATGTCTGGCAGTGAAAGTGATAATATAGATGCAGGACTAAGATTTAGCATAATCTAGACAGTAGTGTTATTCACTCCCCCAACCAATTATGGCGAGGTTAGTAACTATTTCTGTTACTCAAGCTTCATTATAATCATCTGTATGCAGATTATTCATTTTATCTTCACTATACACATATCCAGAATTAAAATCTGAAAAGCAAATTTAAATGAAGTGTGTTGCACAAAAGTATAAATTGGGGACAAATGCATAGCAATAAAAGGGTGTAAATTCAGATAAATCTAATGAAAATGCACACATTTTCTCCATGCAAAGACACAAGATGTTTACATTTATTGAAAGTAAATAGAAATGAAGAATGCCGAAAGTTTTTGCATTAGACTTAAGAATGCACTGAATGTCATACATTTATCATAGAGTAGGATGATCTGTTGGAGACATATGCCAGTGGCAATGATGAAGCATATTCATAATCAGGATATAATATCTTTGTGCAGTGAATTCCATTCTTCAAGATGTGCTTATTGGTAAATGATTTTGTGATCTGGCTGGCAGTTTGTTATAGTGAACTCCATGCATTTTATATCAGATGTAAATTTGGCAAATCTATTCTTTAAATATCATCAGTTTTGAAGGAAATCATTGATTAGTTTATTGTTATACCAGCAACCATAGTCTTCATTGACCATCTGAAAGGTAGGGCTTTTATTAACCTTTCATGAAGAAGTGTATGTAGGTAGCATTTATTGGCTAGTTTTGCATACTTACTTAATCTTGATTTCATTAACTTTTGTTCATTAGAGCAAAATATTTCAAATAAAGAGGTAAAATATATTCATTAGAATTAGTTTCACGAATGGATAAAGTAGTCACGCCACTCAGACAGTTAACAAGAAGCTAGGGCGTACAATTCCATGAAAAAGCCATGCAATAAGGATGCAGTTTTTTTTTCTCTTATGTATGTGGCATTTAAATTCCCCCACTAGATTTCATGCAAGGCTGTGCAGGTGCATAAAATTTATTTTGGCTAATATCAATGAACATTTATCTCCAGAAGAACCTGGGTTCCTTGAATTCAGTGGGCTTATTATGTTTGTGATTATTTATAAGTTGATAACAGCTATCATTTTGCAAACTGAATCTTGATTAAAGTAAAAAGAAACCAGTTCAGTTTAATTTAGAAAAGGAACCAGTATTTATTCCATGAAAGATGCTGTCTATGAAAGTTCAAACAAGCTGTATGATGAGATGTCAAAGAAAAATAAATTAAAAATTAGAAGAAAAATAATTAAATAAAATGTGATATGTAGATCAGCATTATCAAGTTCCTGATGTATGATTTGCCATGATAATGTATTTTTCTAGTGTCTCCATACAATTACATAGCAATTACAAATTATGTTCTTGTTAATAAAGCTATGCTTGAAAACATTGGCCAGCTCTCCTTGACATATCAAAGTTCATTATCTTGCTGTCACATCAATGATTGTGCAAATTCTTTGCAACATGAGCTTGAGATTTCCGAGCTTCAGAGCAATCTGCTATGGAAATAGGTCCTTGAATTCACTGATTAAAAAGAAGCAGCATTATGTAGACTACTCGATTTGTATGTATCTCATTTTCAGATTACCCAATATTCAAAACTTTCCTTGATTAAATTTTCCTAGTGGTTACTTCCCCATATTATGCAAATTGTGTGCAATTTTTCATATACTAGTCTTAATGAAATATTGAAATAATATACTTCAAACTTTAGTTTTATATGTATGCTTAGTAGCACTGCAGAAGTAGTTGTTTTTCTAAGTTATATGTTGTCTAATCTTGATTAAACAATACTTACTTGAATGATATACGAGGGCCATCCAGGAAGTAGATTACGTTTCCGTCTGTGTCCGCTAGGGGCGGGGCTAGCGCGGCCATCTTGGGGTCAGAGCGTCGCAGCTCAGTCTGCATCTACCCGTGCTAGTGAGAGGTTCGTGCTGTGCTCCGTTCAGATACTGTGACGGTTTGAAATGTCTGTGTTAATTGAAAATCCCGCGAGCTGCGAGGTGCGCTCAGTAATAAGGTTTCTGACTGCAAAAAACTGTTTTGTGCCACAAGTTTGTGCCACAAGTTTTGTGCAAGATGGAAGGCAAGAAGAGGTTAACGAAGTGGTTGAAGGCGCAGGCGGCCGAATTTTTCGACGAAGGAATTTCCAAGCTCGTACATCGCTACGATAAATGCCTTAATTTGTATGGTGACTATGTAGAAAAGTAGTATTTGAGTGTGGCTTTCATCTGTATATAATAAAATTTGTTTCCTATACTTTGTTTATTTTTTTATTCCAAAACGTAATCTACTTTCTGGATAGCCCTCGTATTTAATTTAATACATAGTTTCGTTGGTCTGGCTTGAAATATACAAAACCTGTGACAAATTTGCTTGATTTAGGAATGAATTTCCTCAATTTTTAATGATTATGATGAATAAAAAAATTAATATCTTCTAAAATTGTATGCAGATGTTAAAGCTCAAAGTCATAAACCTAATGCAGTTTTTTTCCTTTTTTTTTTTAACCAAAAGGGGCTATTAGTTTCATTTTGGCATATTGCTTCGGTTTACTAAAATTGTTACCACCAAATTTTAGAACCCTGAATTATATTTAAAGAAATTTATAAAGAATCTGCATGAGTGTATATATGTTTTTGCACTGTGGAAAAACAATAGTACCTAGAGACATCAAATTTTGAATAATGTAGTTGTCCATTCGAATATGAGCATCTGGAGGCACAAATTTGGAATTTGTTTTATTATCTATTTCATATTTTGCCAAACATTAAAGAATTTTTTATTAACAAACTCAACGACTTCAAAGTGAGCAATGGCAACATGGTATTCGGGGGTACATACATTAAAAAAGTCTTTAATCCAGATTCGTCATGACTTTGGCGATTCCGGATTAGGGGATTTTCCAGATTATAGATCATCAATTTAAATCTGGTAAGATGGAATGCAGAAATTATAAAATTAAAAATATGAAACCGTAATTTATGAAATAAAGAACAATTATGATCTAAAGGGTATCAAAATTTGCAAAAAAAAGTTTAATATTTATTTATTTACTTTTATTAAAGATTTCTTTCAACGTGTGCATGCATAAAGCATACATTACGCATAGTCGAAATTAGAAAATTGCAACCAGAAAACTATGTGATGTGTATTCGTGATAGTTATAATGCCGAGGAATTTGATTTAAATCATATCAAAGGCGGAGTACATCGAGATGAAATACTACATTTAGTAAGGAATTATAAGCCTAATCAAATAAAAACGTCTGCCCTGAAGATAAGCATAGTGCTGACAGATCAACTTCCAGTTCATTGCGCGCCGCGACGTCCCCCCCCCCACAGAACAGCGTGAAATTAATGAACAGATTTCGGAATGGTTAGAGAAACAAAGGATACGCCTTTATCCATTTTTTTGCAGCAATTCCAATTTTTGTTTGATAGACATCAAAACATGCTTTCACTTTGTAGATCTTTTGGCAGCTCCAGAATCGGAAATTCTTTTTGACATAATCGAAAGTTCAAGCTTACTTTTATAAAATTGCTCTAACAGTCTGCAAAAAATAATAAGCCGGATCCAATTCGAAGATTAAGGAACAATGCAATCTGCAACATTAATTGAAATAGGTAATTTTAGCTTAGCTTATACTGTCCATTATACATTAAATGCGCATGCATAAATGCATATACGCATGCGTAAATGCATATGCGCATGCATAAATGCATATGAACATGTGTAAGCGCATTATGCGTTAACGCATGCGCAGAAAGTTTGTATCTTTGAGGTCCGGATTATAGATCATTCCGGATTATGGGACGTCCGGATTAGACTTTTGACTGTATTTATCTATAGCAAGTGAGACTGCGTATTCAAAATTCTAAAGATGTGCGCTTTTAAATATTTTGTGATATTGCAGTTGAATTAAATTTTATGATTTAAGTACGAAGAACATGATACTTAATAAGTAAAGGTAACACACAAAACGTTACAAAACTCCCCTTTGGGCGCAATATAAAATCTGAAAGCTTTCAGTTTTTTTTTAGAAAATATGTGTGGAAATAATGCAAAGCAAACTTTAACATTCTCGGCATGA